TGTAATTTACACTTCACAGCATGCTTGAGATTACATTCTGTCTAATTCTTGCAAATCCCCACCCAAACATGCCCTGAATTGGCCAGAGAAACTTAGGAGCAAGGGAGAAGTTTACCTGGGGTTCACCCAAATCCATTCAGCTAACGGTAGTTGCTGCACCCCATTTCTTTACAAAGAACAACTTGCTGGGTATGGTATCTCCACATCATCCCCTGACCTTCCTCTGGGTTACCAGGCTGGACATACTTTCAGAGTAGAGCCTCTTCAGGATGCACAGAGCCAATGAGGAATGTGTGACTACAGATAGCTAGATCTCAGTGTAAGGTCTTGTCCAAGGGAGAGCTGATAAGTTGGGTCAGTTCCTAAAAGAATCATTCTACAAAGTAGTTTGTGCACCACAATGGCTCTGCCTATGACTCACTCCATATTTTTATTAATAATTTTGGGGACCAGTGGCACACTGCGGGGCAGTACCTCAAGGAGTTCTCTCAAGTGAGTGCTGTCTCCGATTTTCTCAAAATTCAAAATTTTTTATATTAAATGTATTGAGCTGTAGATTATATACAGAAAAATGCTGAGTGTATTGTTATCTTAATTGTATTGTTTGATGAATTCTGACAAATTCGCCTGCAATGTAATCCCCGCCACAATTAAGGTGTAAAATATGCAGTTCCTTTTCCTCTCTCCCACTCCCACCTCCATGCCAGACCCACCTAACCACTCATCTGTCCCTCTAGGTTCCTTGTTTTCTGTAAGAATGCAATCATGTGTGTCCTCCTAAACATGGCTCTTTTGCTGAGCACGTTTTTTTTGAGATTTATATATGACAGAGAGATGTGTAATTTTTACTCCTTTTGGGGGGCATTTCTAGGCTGAGGCCACCAAATTCGTTTCACCTGTGTGGGGTGACTTGAGGTTTGGAGTTACGAAGAGCTGACTTGAAATTTTCATGCACTGGCCTTTCGGCAAATTTAGGTTTTTGTTGTTGTTGTTTGGTTGGTTGGTTGGTTGGTTGTTTGTTTGGTTGGTTGGGTTTTCGGCAAACATTTTTTTTTATTTATTTATTTATTTATTTATTTATTTATTTATTTATTTATTTATTTATTTATTTATTTATTTATTTATTTATTTTAAGTGAATAAGCAGAAGAGAGTGAAAAGTTCGAGATGGCGCTGCTGTCCCTCATAATAAGTGTGCATTACTAACTTCACGGAAAGCTGCCAAGCTACTTTTCAAATACTTGCACGGTTTCGCACTCTCATCAGAAAGGCGTGCCTTCCGGTTACTCCACACGCTCCTCGCCTCTTGGCGTTGTCCATCTCCGTCTTTAATCTTACACATTGTAGTGGCTGCGCCTGCGCCTGCGCCTCCCTGTCCTTTCCTGCACACGCTCCTGGTTGCTGATGCCGAACACCTTTCCCTGGGCTCTAGGCATCTTCCTCCTTGACTCAGTTATGCAGGCGAGTTCAAGGTCACCAACTCTGACGAATTCTGCAGCCGCTAGAGCTGTCCAGAGCTGGAGCATCCTTGCTGGTTATGAGAAAACTGTTGTGTTGTCCTCGACGTTGCACTCTCGTCGGGACATTAACCAGCAGCTCCTTTTTCCCTCCCAGCATAGGCTGAGATTACCAAACAAGATCTTTAAAAGCCGTGGTTGTAAGGAAATGGAGCCTGTGACACCAAATGTTCCCATTCAGCCAAATGCACAGGAACCCCCTTGATGCAATCCCGTCAGCCAGTTCGTTCTGTGACTTCTCCCAACAACACTCTGCAGACTTCTTGTTTTGTGATTCTGTCACGAGTCTCGCTGAATTGTTTCCTCATCCATAGGGACATGTATTCATTCCCTAGATGTTAAAAAGACAACTCGGCTTACCTTGATTGTATTCTCTACACTGACTGAAAAGTACTTTTAAAGTTGATCTTGCCCTTTTTCTTTGAGAGATTCAGTCTAGGGTAAAATATGTTCTACACTTCCGAGCAGTTATTTCTTGGGAACCCGAAAATTTCATCCCTAGAACACTATGAAATTCCTCCCCCAACCTCCTGCCCTTGTTGACGATGTAAAACAAACCTCATCTGGCCTGCATCTTATCTCCATGGACTAGTCAGAGTATTGTTTTGAGTTTTCCACTGCATCTATTAATTTTAAAAGAACACATGTCTCGGTTCAGTAAAAACTTATAGAAACCCAGATAAAAGGAATTCTGAATTGAGATGTTCATGCCTCCAGCTCTCTTTTTCCTTTTTAATGATGGTGAAGAATCCTGATGTTTCTTTACTTTTTAGAACCTCCTTGGGGCTGCTCTGGCAGGGGAGCTGACAGGAAGTGACCACTGTGCTGAAGCTAGGCAGTGGGTCTTCATGAGGTCTGGATGCCTCCCATCCTTGGTCTGATCTGCCTGGAGATGCATCAGCTTCTACCCCGTCACTGCCAAAAAGAACTTATTTCAGCCAGGACACTACTTGTGCTACACATGAGTTGCAAAGGCTGGGCCCAGGCTGGACTGTCCAACCCTACATTGTAACAACGTCACGGTTTGGCGGCTAAATAGCAAGGCTAGTGAGTTCTGAGAAACTCGATTCTAGCTGCTTTCTTGGAACTGTCGGAGAGAGAGGAAGGAAGCTGGCGCATAAAACTCAGACTTTTTCAGAGCAGAACTTAGGCTTTCCAGTGACTGATTCTCAAAAGACCTTCTATCCACCAGTACAATAACCAATAGTGGTAAATTATCCAGAAGCAGTCAAGATCCCAAAAGATATTCTGCATTGTCAAAAAAAGATTAAATTGTAGATGATAATTAAAATATTTTAGTATGGCGCTATGTAATAATTCTATTAAAATGCTCTAAACCCACATCCTCCAAAATTTATTTGTTTTTGTTTGGTTTTTTGTTTTGTTTTGTTTTTTTCTGAGACAAGGTCACACAGTGTAGTCCAAGCTGGCCTTATACTCATACTTCTCTTGTCTAGGTTCCTGAGTACTCGTTTTATAGATGTGTGCTACTGTACTCAACGTCTAAATATTTTTAATTTGCATTTTACTTACTATTATTAATTATTATTACTATGTTTAAGTGCAGATGTATGTATGCCATAGTGCTTGTGTGTGTGTGTGTGTGTGTGTGTGTGTGTGTGTGTGTGACAGAGAGGGAGAGAGAGAGAGAGAGAGAGAGAGAGAGAGAGAGAGAGAGAGAGACAGGAGAGAGAGAAAGAGAGAAGGCAACTTTACGGAGTTGGTTCTCCCTTTCCACTTTTATACATAGATTCCAGGGTCAAACTTAAGTCTTGGGGCTTATACAGTGTCAGAACACGATCCAGGAATGGAGTCATGTAAGGAGAATTGTAAGTGCTTGTGAGAACACTCCAAGGAAACAAGACAAGAGTCTTGTGACCTCAGTTTCTTCAAAACGTGGAATTGGTCTTGCAATGTGTTTTCATGCCCCTCCCAGGGGTCGCAGACTAGAGTGAGTTTACTTCAGATTATTCCTTATTGCTTGCTGCTGCCCCTCAATTAAAGGTTCAAACTAAAGCCGGGCGGTGGTGGCGCACGCCTTTAATCCCAGCACTTGGGAGGCAGAGGCAGGTGGATCTCTGTGAGTTCGAGGCCAGCCTGGGCTACCAAGTGA